GCCATGGTCCTCTGTGGCTTGTCGTCTGGCGAAAAAGGTTGGGGACCACTGGTGTAGAGTATCCTTTAAAATGCTTAGTGGCACTTCAGAAAGAGACAGACATGCTGAAATTTCGTAAACAAGTTTGAGCTTCATAAAAAGCGACATCCTCCTAAGTTATTACACATTGTTAACATGTCGAATGCCTAAACAACAAACAGTCCTCTCAAAAGTATTCAAATAGCACACTGATCTACAGAGTCAATACATCTGCTGGGTAAACAGAGCCTAAGACCACACAGTGTCTTAGAAATCAAACAAATTAAAACAATTTCTACATCATCACTCATTACAATACCCAACTGAAGTAATGTGATCTGAATGTCTAATCTGGGAGCTGAGCTTGTTTATATGATGACCCGAATGAGCACTAAGTGAAGCCTTGCAAGTATCCCAGCAGAAAGACTCAACTGGATGAGACAAACAGGATCTTGGCATCAGGGATCAACATGAGCAAATTATGGCAATGTTTGCATAATAGGATCTAAATAGGCTAGTTTGACTAAATAATGCATTGTGGTAAAAGGGCAAGTCACACAGCTGCCAGTGAGACCTTTCCCACTTCAAGTGGAAGGCATATTTCTTTAACCCATCCTTCACTAATAAAAAAACACATAGCACAATGTATGAGGCATTTTGTAATTCTTTTTGAACTTCCAGATCCCCTCATTTTCCCCTTGGAAGAGGAAGGGACAAAGAAGGAAAGAACCAAATGTGATAGATGCACGTCATATTGCTTAAAGGACTTCTAGAAGCGACTCAGGGCTTGTCTCCATGGTGGAGTAATGCCACTCTGGGGCGTACTAACATGTTGTGCATTAATTGGTCTGCATAGCCCCTGCTGGTGCACACTAGAGGTTCCCTAGATCAGTGGTTCTGAACCAGGGGTACGCGTACCCCTGAGGGTATGCAGAGGTCTTCCAGGGGGTACATCAACTCATTGAGATATTCACCTAGTTTTACAATAGGCTACATAAAAATATTTAGCAAAGTCAGCACAGACTAAAATTTCATACAATGACTTGTTTACACTACTCTATATACTATACACTGAACTGTAAGTAGAATATTTATATTCCGGTTGATTTATAATTATATGGTAAAAATGAGAAGTAAGCAATTTTTCAGTCTTAATGTGCTGTGACACTTTTGTAAGCAAGTCGTTTTTAAGTGAGGAAAAACTTGGGGTACTCAAGACAAATCAGATTCCTGAAAGGGATACAGTAGTCTGGAAAGGCTGAGAGCCACTGCCCTAGAGTATTTTAACATAATTCTGTTTCAAACAGCACTATTTTAAAGTGCACCGGCAGGGTCTACCCGGACCAATTAGTGAGCAATACATTAGTGTGCTTTAGAAATCATACCCCTGTAGAGAACATTACCCCACCATGTACACAAGCCCTCAGGTATCATGGTAGTGGTTGCGGCATAAGAATTTGAACAGAATCGAAGTGTAGATTCCAACTTCCGGTGCTATACTGAAGTCAATTTTGAGTAAAGTAATTACAGTAAATAGGAGGGAAGTGAACTAGCTAGTATGTGTGCACTATCTGGTTAGAGCTGGAGCTCTTTACTGGTAGCATCGACTGCTATAGCTCAAATGGAAGGGCATGTGCTCTTGTGGTCAAAGGAACTGAATGTTATCCCTTCTAGTTTTGTGAAATCCCAAGTGGCCGAAGCATGTTACAGCGTGGTAAATGAGAAGCATTCGGTGACCACAATTGCGTTGCATTATATTTAGAAAAGGGAGGAGAAGAGGGTCATTATGTGCAAGAATTAAAATATTTTATTTCAAACATTTCAATTCATCAATAAATGCCATTCAATTCAATAAATGCCATTAATATTGTCCTTTTATATAGCTCTGATATGCACCAGCTGAGGATCTGACCCATAGAGTCTAAAAGGGTGCCAAACATCCCCAGTTATATTACCCAATACCTGTGAATAGCTTTATGTGGATTCCGAAAACATTTTCTTTACTTTTGCCCCAGAAGACATCATGTAAACATGTGGGCCGCTTATTATACAATATATATATATATATATCACTTGCAAAGAACAACTACTCAGCATGACCATTCCTGGGTAGAACTGAGCAAAATTCAACAGCTTCCGTTAACAGGTGTTTGTGTCAGCTGTTTCAGTTTCTACTCACAGGTATTCTGAACTCTCCAGTTTCACTTTTCAGAGTAGCAGCCGTGTTAGTCTGTATCCGCAAAAAGAGCATGAACAGGTGGGAGTTGTCTTACCAACTCTGAGAAGCCAATTAAAATTTGTTTTTCTCTTACTTAATTGGCTTCTCAGAGTTGGTAAGACAACTCCCACCTGTTCATGCTCTCTGTATGTGTGTATATATATCTCCTCAATATATGTTCCATTCTATATGCATCCGAAGAAGTGGGCTGTAGTCCACGAAAGCTTATGCTCTAATAAATTTGTTAGTCTCTAAGGTGCCACAAATACTCCTGTTCTTTTTGCAGTTTCACTTTGAGATTTCAGGTTTGAAAGAACCCCAAAACTCAGAGCAAAGAGCAGTCAAAACCCTCCGGTTGTACAGGAAACAGTGAATTTTGCATGGGTCCCATAGAGAACAATAAATTAGCCTCTATATATTAAAACAAGGCCTATCTTGTTCAACGTGTTCAGGAAGCAGAGGTGTTCTTTTGACGACGCTAGACAGTTTCGATTTTGTAACAAACCTGAAAAGCAGGGGAGTTGCAAGCAGTTTCAGGTTTTATAAACCAAAAAGTTTTCTACAGCTTGGCTTATGAGCAATGCTGTTATCCCAGATACACTGCAAAGAAATTTTTATGCACCCCACATCAGCACCTCGGAATTGACCCTCAGAGGGGTTGAGCACCTGCTGTTCCCACTAATTTCAGCTCCTCACAGGACCAAGCCCAAGTATTTTTGCTACAGCCTCTACCTTCAGTAGACCTGACCTTGCAACACTGTCTACTGGGTGTAGTACTTACTGCTGTAAATAGTCCCATTGACCTCAACAGGACTATTCCCAGCAATGAGTGCTGTGCCCAACAGTAAATGTATGCAGGATCAGGCCAAATATCCACCCTGGATTGAATTGGATGGGGAACCCTGGATTCTATCCTACTATTTTAGATACTTATATGGCCTCCCATTATCATAGTCTTTGAGCACCTCACCTTTAATATATTTATCCTCACAAGACCCCTTGTGAGGTGGGGAAGTGCTGTTATTCCCAGATAACAGATGGGGAACTAATGTCCAGATCCTCAGATGTATTTAGGAACCTAATTCCTGTTGATTCCAATAGGAGTTAGGCCCCTAATACCTTTGAGGATCTGGGCTTAAGTGACTTGCACAAGGGCGAATGAGAGGCCTATGGCAGAGCAGGAAATTGAATATAGAAGTCCTAAATCCCAGGGAAGCACCCTACCCAGTGGCCATTGTTCCTCTCCTTCATGGCTTATCTCCCTGACAATACCAAGCACTGGCCCACCATTCTTTTTGTAGTTTTGCACAGACCTAACCTCCCAGAAAACATATACAAAAAGCATTGCAATAGTTGTTGCCCCACTTACAGAGAAAATTAAAGTAAAAATATAGGAAGCTTCATAATCCTCTTACTTTTATATGAAAAAGCAAAACACCCAGTAATTGAGATCTGGCTTGAGGCTATTTGTATGTTTCCTGAACTGAATTCCAAGTAGTGAACAGGCTTTTTCTTAAGTCAGTAGCTCCAAAATCTATCTTGTAATTTTCCCCCTTGTAATTCTCAATATATTTCTAGTACATTAATGAAAAAAAAAACCCAGAATCATAGACATGTAGGGCTGGAAGGGACCTTAAGAGGTCATCTAGTCTGGACCTCTGTGATGAGGCAGGACCAAGTATACCTAGACCATCCTGTCAGCCCTACATTTCTATGATTCATCCCTAACCTGTTCTTAAGAAGTGATGGGGTGTCACATTCTGGGATGCAACCCAGACCAGTGAGAGATTGTTTCACCACTTGTCCTGTCACCCTGCCTTAAATGCTCTGCTGCTGTAACTTCCTGTCTGGATGCTCACAGCCAGCATACAAGCATGTACTGAGTGTCTGTGTGATAAGCAGTCCTGGTTGAGGAACTGTGACTACAGCAACCTGCATGTTACACCACAGCCACACTCTGGTCTCCACCAGCCTGGGTTACTGCTAGCCAAGTGACCCTAATACACCGTCAGTCCTAAATTTCCCTAAATCCATGTTCCCTGAAATATCCAACCCTTTCCTTGATCACTCAGAAAAATAATAAGGTTTGTTTGCTCCTTCAAAGAGTCAGTACCGAGCAGCTTGCCATATTAACTGCACTTAGTAATTACTTCAATTCAAACACAGCACTGGGGTGGTTTAGATTAAAAATAAAACAATTTTATTAACAATAGGACATAGGTTAAGTCGTAGTAAGTAAAAGAAATAGAAGTATAGATGGTTACAAGCAAATAAAAGTGAAAAGATGCATCAGAAAGTCTAAAACTTAATCTAGTAAGGTTCAGTTGTTTAAGATGGCTCCTCTTACCGATAGTCTTTGTCCAGCAGGGCAGACATTCTCTCGGTCAGGACCTTCCACGGAACTATGGAGGTGCTGGTTTCTCTACTCTTCTTAAGTGAAAGATGGAGTCTCTCTGTCCCTTATATTCCCAAAGAATTGTCTTTGTTCTCCAAGTTAGGAAGGCCTCCTGGGGATTCAGTCTTCTGCATATCTCTGGGGTGTAGGAACAAAGTCAATTCTCTGTCTCTGTTCTGTCTCAAGACAAACCCTGTTGGTTTGCTTGATAGCTTCATTTATGGCTAATATGAAAACTGATGTAAACCCACATTCCTGTGTCTGGGACAGACCTGTTTATCATCTTTACCTCGGCTAGGCCATCCTCTTAAACAGGTCCTAGTGACATTGTACAGAGGGAATTCATATTGTAAAATGCATGTTATCCTTCTATTAACAACCAGCATGCTATTACTTTTCAAATGATATCTTACAAGGCATATTTTGTACAAACATTGCAGTGGTATGGGGGATATGAATACAGGGGTGTTTACATGGGGATTCCACAACCTCCCCTGGAAGCCTATTCCAGTGCTTACCTATCTTTGTAGTTAGAAAGGTTTTCCTAATATCTAACCTAGATTTCCTATGGCAGATTTCTGGAGGTCAAAATAATGGACCTTATTTAGCCCGGGCATCAATAGCTTCAACACCCATTGGTTTCAATGGGTGTTGCACATGATTATACCAAGGTTGGATTTAGTCCAATCTCTCTACAGTCCCACCAATGATAAGATTATCTATCCAAGTGGATATATTGCCTTATATTTCAAAAGCACTCAGTAGATCTAGTTTTTTTTTTAAATATCATCAAAAAGTTACCTGTTTTTCAAAAAAAAAAAAATCCATGAAAAGTTCCATGTTTATTCCACCCCATCCCCAAAAAATCATCATAAAAACATTACTAGCAAATGGTTTCATTTTTGATTAGTGAAAAGTGTTGAATTTCAATAGTGTCTATGATAAAAATTTTGAAAAAACTCTGAGAAGTGGGTCAGCTTTGAAACAAAAACCTGTTCAGTTTTTCTGCTAAAATAGGTTTTCATTTTTCCATTTGCTTGACAAAGGGGTTTAAATGGAGGTGGGCTGAGGGGCTCAATGCTGCAAACACTTATGATGAAGCCCTTTTTGTTCAACGAGCAAAACATATGCAGCATGAAGTCTCATTTTTGTGAAATTTTGCATGCATGTGGATTGGGAACATTCTTTCTTTGAACTTTACGTCTCTGCACGTTGAGTTTTTCCTTGTAGTACTGAATATGTCATTAATGGGAAAAATATGAGAGCGCTAAAAGTGAACAAAGTCATACCATTAAACTCCAAGGATGCCAACAAAAGACTGTTGCCTGCTGGATGAATGTCTGCACCATAGTTCCAAGGCTGTTTGTTCATATCCTGTTAGGGTTGTAATTTTGTTTAACTCTTCTCCTTTTTACCACCCCTCCTCCTACTTCTTCTTCCTGCACCTCTCAGCCAAGTTGCAAAAGCTTGACTAGAAGCAGAGATGAGTGAGTGAGCTCTCATTTAAACTGCTCCTTGCACAGGCTTAAACAGACCTAAACTTCAGAAGGTCTAGTTTCATCAGGAAACGTCAGCATCCAAGACATTTAACATGAGTTTTAAATTCCTCAAAGAATATTCCTATCACCTCTGGGATAATGCACTGTAATTTGCCATCAGACACACAAACCAACCAGCATTTCAAAAGTTGGTCAAATGCAAATTTTGTCTGTTACAGGGCCACAGCTGTCTAGCCCTTTGCAACAAATATCTCCAGTTCCTATTATTATTGCAGTAGAGTCTTGAGGCCCCAATCAGTACTGGGACCCATTGTGTAGGGTGCACAAACATTGTGTAGGGTGTACTTTGTGTACAAACATCTATTTAATGACAGTCCCTGTCCTGAAGCTTACAATCTAAATGAAATAAATAATACAGTTGCCTCTTTGCCAAGGAGTAGCAGAATTTGGGGCCTTGCAAGCCAGTTTCCTGTTTGGAGCAGAAGTCAGTGACACAGGGTTAGGTATTTTCTTACTGTAATTTGCTTATTTACAAAACATACACAAGTCCTGCTCCTTAAAACAGAGGTGCCAACAGACTGCCTACAGGCAACTCCCTGCTCAGGTCAGGCACCACTACCCTTCCCCCGGAAGCAGCTGTCTTGTTAGGAGCCTAACAAGTCTCACAGCTTAACACCAGCATTGCCCTTTCATGCCCCAGTCCTGAGTTTTTCAGATTGGAAACCTGTAGTCCAAGACGGCTCATGGAGATTGCACAGACTGGAAAAGTGAACCTGGGCATCTCCCTCATTTTGTACTGCAGAGCAGCTGAACAAAAGGAACCTCACAGCTTTAACTATCAAACCAAGGAAAGCATTTAAACCCACACAATAATGACTCTGGCTGTGATTATTGCATGGAGACTTCAACTCTTTTTATAGGAAGTTTTATCCCAGGTTCTTATAAATCAACAAACCCTCATAGGCAAGCCATAACAATAATAATACTTTTTGTTGTTATAGTGCCTTCCATCTGAACATTTAAAGTGCTTTACAAACATTACAGTTTGCAAACGTTCAAACAAACTTTATTTATTGTGGAATATAGGACTTAATTTTTAAATATGGACACAATTCTAAGATCCATCCTTCTGAAATAAATTAGATTAGATTGATCTTCTCTGTTTCCTTTGGAGACCAGATTGTGTCCAAACTGGAGTCCTGCCTACTGAAGTCATATAAGGTAGGATTTTAATAGGAAAAGCCTGCCACCTGCAGGGAAAAACTCTGAAAAAATGTAGCATAACAATAGATGGGCATTACCCTGCAACATTAACGCCCATTTACCCTTCTGGAGTGGTGTAAAGGGGCCTTAGACTAAATGAGAATCAGAGCTAAAATAGACCAACCTTTCCAAAGAACTTTTTAATTTACCAGAATTGTTTAATTTAATGTAAGCTCTGTGGCCTAAAGCTTCAGAGGGTAAGGAACTCTCTGCCCCCATCTGTTGATGAATGTCGGGGAAATGGCGTCACTGCTGCTTCAGCTGCATGTGCTTTCTACCCAGAATTCCTCCAGGGACACTGTGGGAGTCTGCATAACTGTATGCAAACACAGAATGGATTGGGTAGTGGAACCAAAGAGGGGAAAAGGTGAAGAGTTCCTAGTTTTTGGCAAAGCATCCATCTTTGGTGGCAATGACTCTGCTTGAAGGTCTTGTAGGCTGCAAGTTCCCTTCCACTAATGATCTACTGATGGAAGGACTATTTGAGAGGAGATGATTCAGAGAGGGCTCTTTAATGGGATACAATATAGAGATGGCTGTTATCTCTGCTGCTGTGCTCTACAGCTTCAACTGGGTGTGAAATCTGGTGAAGCTCCTTCACGCCACAAATTAAATAAAGCTGAAATCACTCTAACTGGCTTAGGTGGTGGAGCCTCAAGACAGGACCAGGAAGCACTTCCCAAGAGACTGGAGACAGGCCTATCCAAGGACTCTGCATAGCTCAGCATTCTGGGAGTACAATACCGACTGACACCAAATTGTGAGTGGGGCTCAACAAAGGGGAAAGTGACATGGTAAAAGGATATATATCTACTGGACATTCACACTGGTGAGTGGGGAACCAAATTAACAGACAACTGCTGAAGTTACTATGGGATAGTGTTTTATTTATCATTATTATAGATGGATTGTTGCTGTAGTCTCCCAAGTGGATGCGGTGTTCCTTTTTCCCTCATAAAATTTTCCTAATTTCATACAGACTTAGTGCTCACAAGTGGGCAACTAGTAAGGGCACTCAGGTTTAGTGATCCCAGAAATTCTGGGTGGTGGCTCAAGCCAATGGTGTTTGTTGTACAAGAACCCTTAGGTATTTGAAATGGCCATGTGTTGCTGCCAACAATACCCGGCAGACAAGTTACATTAAAAAAAAATCCTATTCTAGTAGTGAAAGCTGGTCCGTGGATACTAGCCCGAGACTTGAGAGATCTGAGTTCTATTCCCTGCTCTACTACAGACTTCTTGTATGACTATGGGCAAGGCATTTAGCCCCTCAGTGCCTCAGCTCCCCCTATGTAAAATGGTGACAACAGCACTGCCCAACCTCACAGTGGTGTTGGGAGGATAAATACATTGGCATTTGTGAAGCACTCAGGTAATGGGAGCCACAAAAGTGCCTTAGGCAGATAGAAAAGAGGACTGCCATACACAATATGCTGATATTACTACATACTACTGTGAAAAGGATCAACTCACCAATGGCATCTCCTCATGAGTAGCTGTGGCATAGCAGCTGTCTCCGCACTGGGGTCTGCTGCTATTGAGTGCTCCACATCTGCAGTGGCCTGCCTCTTCCTGTGACTTGGCCCATTGGCCACATCACTTCAAAACCTCTCCCCTTCCAGTGTAGTCTCTGAACAAAAAGCAAGGGGAACTAACACAATAAACTGAGCAAGTAAGGGGGGGAGGGAAATGCCTCCCTCTCAGGGCATATCAGGATCTGGCCTTCAGGCAGGAGTTGTCAGGGAAGCACCTGCCTTCAACCACCCCTCTCTTCAGGAGCTGAGGGTCAAAGATCTGGTCTCTTCCCTGGTCTGCCCACAAGTGAGCGGCTCTGCTTCCCTTTTAAACTTCTCCTCCAGCCTGTAGATTCCTGGCAGCTGTGGCAGGCTGGAGTTGGCTGGGCCCAGAGAAGCTCCTTAACCCCTTGTTGTGCAGCGTGGGAGGTGTATGCCCCATCACAGTGACACATTCTGTCTGTGGCTTAAATCTTCTCACCTTTTGCAGGGCCCAAATAAATGGACTTTGTGCATGGAGAGTTTTGTTGGGGTTTAATTAATGGAATCACCTCCTCCACAGGCGATGGAGCAGCCATGGTAACCCACGAGATGAAGCTGTAGCTCCAGAAGGTCACTTATATCCTCCATCCCACGTTGGGAGTTGGCCAGGGGATCTGCATGGATTCATTGACCCACTAGTGCTGTTGATTTTAGTCCCCATCAAGCAGTACATCACCACATGCAGATAATGCCAGCACCTCCTCTGCAAATCATCCCCACACTCACCTCACAAAACAACATCAAATCTGCTGTCCTTCAAGTCCCATGCACCCACCAGTGGTGAGCAAGATTGGACCCAATAGGAAGTTACTGTGTCTGTGGTATGTGAATTCGGACCCCCGTATAGTGTCCATGTATCAGTGTGTTGTCTCCCATCCAGAGGGATATAGAACCAGCACAGGCAGCTCAGCAAAGCTATAGAGAGCAACACACAAAGAGATTTAAGTTTAAACTTATATTACTAGCTGCTGTCTTTTTCTACACATTACACATAAGGCAGTAACTTTCGTATAATCCCAAGGTAAAAGCTGGATGAATATTGACAAAACAGAACAGCAGCATACTGTTATTACACTTATTTTCCAGCCTGTGAGCACACACTGAGCCCAGCTACAAAATGCTATGCAGGCCTGAACAATAGGAAACACTTTATTACAGAGATCGCATTTTAAATAATACATTTATTTTTCATAATAACACTGAGGCCCAGCCACCAATGATTTCTCAAGATTTGAATCGCTTCCCCAGGGTGGATCTGGATAACATGGAGGAATCATGACATGAACTTTTGAAATTTACACAGATGCTAATAATGCAAAACTGATGGCTCCATCACTTTCCACTCCAGAAGCTCCCTGCATAGTGAGAAAGGAATAATCCACCACACCAGGATGCTTGGGAAGACCTGCAATGCTCTAGGAACCATCTCCCATCCTTTAACATTTGTTGTGGCTCCACAGTCTTACCTAGAAAACTGTAAACAGTATTTCATCAGTTATATTCTGTGCCTGCATTTCCTTCTCAGCCATGGCAGAGTGCCCAGACATTTGTGTATCAGTAGAAACATCTCATGCCAGATTCACTTTTAGGTCTGTGCTAGCCTCTGATGGCCGACCCAGGTGCACAGCCCTCATGGGGGACCACTAGGAGTTAAGACTGTGGTGGCCAAAAGAAGCTGCAACCTCTCTTCCCACAGAGAAGTGTAGTCTGTTCTACCCAAAAAATGAGTGGCACTGGCTAGGGGTGTGGCTAGGACATCTGGGGAATGATAGCATCTAGTGCATCCCTGGTGCAACATCCACCAATGGGGCTTTAGTGGAGCCTTTACCTGAAAGGGAAGCTGCTTTCCCTAGAAAAACTCCTCAGGGAGCCTGGCAGTGGGTTGTGAGAGGAAGGTAAAGGGGGATGGAGACTGAGGGGCAGGGAGGTTGAGAGGGGAAGGAGAGAGCACAGGGGAGTAGGCTTAAAAGCACAATGGGCAGGGACAGTGATGATGTGGGGCTGTGGAATTGCAGTGGAAGGAGATAGGCAGGGTTAAGGGGGACTGGCAAACAATGGCAATAGCGCAAATGAGAAAAAAATCCAACATTTACATTCCAGAGCTGAGTGAAATTTTTTTTTTTTTGGAGATATCCCATCTCCTAGAACTGGAAGGGACCTTGAAAGGTCATCGAGTCGAGTCAAGTCCAGCCCCCTGCCTTCACTAGCAGGACCAAGTACTGATTTTGCCCCAGATCCCCAAGTGGCCCCCTCAAAGATTGAACTCACAACCCTGGGTTTAGCAGGCCAATGCTCAAACCACTGAGCTATCCCTCCTTCCTATTGGGTCCAATCTTGCTCACCACTGGTGGGTGCATGGGACTTGAAGGACAGCAGATTTGATGTTGTTTTGTGAGGTGAGTGTGGGGATGATTTGCAGGGGAGGTGCTGGCATTATCTGCATGTGGTGATGTACTGCTTGATGGGGACTCAAATCAACAGCACTAGTGGGTCAATGAATCCATGCAGATCCCCCTGGCCAACTCCCAACATGGGATGGAGGATATAAGTGACCTTCTGGAGCTACAGCTTCATCTCGTGGGTTACCATGGCTGCTCCATCGCCTGTGGAGGAGGTGATTCCATTAATTAAACCCC